TCCTGACCAGATGGGACATGCAGAAGTACGCCCGGGAAGCGTACAACGCCGGCATTCGTTACATCGGAGGCTGCTGTGGGTTTGAGCCCTATCACGTCCGCGCCCTGGCTGAGGAGCTGGCGCCCGAGAGGGGTTTCCTGCCTGCTGGCTCAGAGAAGCATGGCAACTGGGGCAGCGGCCTGGAGATGCACACAAAGCCTTGGGTCAGAGCCAGGTAGGTTTTTAACCAAACTGGAGGGAGGGGGGGAGAAATGGGCCAAAAAAGGAGATCTCTAACGTTTTCCTCCTCCTGTAGGGCCCGTCGTGACTACTGGGAGAAGCTGAAGCCGGCGTCCGGCCGTCCCTTCTGCCCCTCGATGGCGATGCCCGACGGCTGGGGTGTCACCAAAGGCCACGCTGACCTGATGCAGCAGAAGGAGGCGACCTCCCAGGAGCAGCTGAAGGCTCTCTTCGACAAAGCCAACAAAACCCACTGAGCTTCCCTCCGAGGCAGCCAGGGGGGACGGCGTACTCAGTCCCTAAAGTTTACATACCAAAAAGCTCAAAATGCTGAAGTCTTCTGTCTTTTTTTTTTTTGTAGGACCATTTTTACTACGACTGCTGTCTCATGCTGACACTTCAAATTAGCTAAGATCATCACAACTGCGAGCCATGTGAAATTACTGTGACTACAAAAACAGCAGCTGTGAATGCAGCACAAGTTTCTGCCTTAACACTCCAAAAGTGCCTGATTGTTGTCTTACAAAAGAATTGAATGATGTGTAGAAATAAACTTCTTTATAATTGACTAAAATATGCACGTGTGTGAGGGTTTTTTGTTTTTTTTTTTTTCTTTAGAGACAGATAGTTATAGGAAGCAAAGTGGAAAACATAATGAAGTTTAAACTCAATCTGGTCTGTAGAGTATGTTGAGCCAGTTCAAGGTACTTTTACTTGAGCATTTTATGCAACTTTATACATTTACTCCTCTACATTTGTCTGACAGCTTTCCTTGTTTTTTTGTTACACCCTTCCTGTCCAATAAAACTCATGTATCTCCAAATGTGTTGAGTTTATTTAATTTTGAGTTCCTTTATGGGTAGAGAAAATTATTCTACTTCAGCTAAATAAACTCTTTTAAACGCCCTCTTGGTTTAGCTGGAAAATGCATCGTCATAAAGCTGAAAACCAGCTGTTTTTCTGACTATTTAGATACATTATGTGACACTATAAATATGATTATCTTTTAGATAATGATGCATTACTGTAGATTAAACTACCCAAGAGTGTATAAAATGGTTAAATTAACCAACATCTAAAGCACATTAATCCAAAAACATATATGTATATTAGTAAAACACTGACAGGAACCATTTTATTGCTCATACTTTAAGCACATTTAGCTGATAATACATATTTTTACATAAGTGAGGTTTTAAATGCAGGACTTTTACTTGTAGTGGAGTATTTTCACAGTGTAGAATAAGTACTTTTACTTCAGTAAACGCTTTAAATATACGTCTATCACCACTGAACAATAGCAAGCGTGTTACTCTTTAGACTTTACAAGTGCTGCTGCTGCCCTCTAGTGGACAAAACACACAATCTTAGTAGATAATGTATTTGTTAGTTTTAATCAAGTAAGAGTTAAATTCCATGATATGTTTTTTATGTAGACATTACAATGCTCCTGTATCCTTTATGTCACACAGCAGTTATTAAAGCTATGATTCATGTGTGTGTGTTTTATACTGGATGCCCAAAGGGAATAGAGGTTTCCTGTGTTTATTCAGGGGATGTATTGTATCTACACGGTGATGTGGAAATATTTGGATGTGGTGCTACCCCACTGGCAGACTTCTTTTAATAGATATAATGCACGACCTTCACCCAGTGAACCATATATAAAATCTTTCCAACTCACCTTTCAACGCGCTTTCTGTCCACCAGAAGTCTGAATAGAAAGGCAGGAAACATGCTTTTAATTATTCTTTTTGTCTTTTTTTTGCAAATAACTAAAACTAACTGAATGTTTTTATTTGAATCTTTGGATCCAGGAACTGAAATATAGCCCGACAGGAAGCCCAGCAGCCACAGTATCATCCTCCGGTTTATAGAAATTAAACAACTTACTCACATTTTGTTTTATGTTTTTGAGCTAACATATTGACTGATGAGTGTGTTTTCTCCATCTACAAGAAGAAATAAACCAAATAATTTTAAATATACAGTTAGGACCAAAAATGGATCTGTTACCTGTTTTGGGTTAGCATCTATTTAAGAAACACTGAATTTAATCCAACCTGAACAATGAATATGGGCTTTAAAGCGTCTTTAATGTGAACTACATTACTTAATTCTACATTTTAATTGGGATTTTTTTCCTCCTCAACAAATTAATGTTCCATTTATTAGCACATTTATTTAAACGCTGTTGAACCAGGAAGCAAAGACTTTTGTCTCAGGTCGTTTGAAAACTTTAAAAACATAGTTTTGCAACTTCTTAAATAAATAAACCATTTTCTCTTTGACAATCTACATCTACTAAATGTTCTTAAAGCGTTGGTGTCTGTAGAGTGCTGAATGGTTTTATTTATTTTACATAAAGTTTACATAAAGTTTTTATGTTACAAACATTTTTTTGTGGATGTGAATTTCACCTAAATTAATATATATTTTTTTAAAGATAATATTTTAATATTATAAAAACTACTCATCTTAACAGCCAATAATAATAATAATAATAATAGTAATAAAATAATAAAAAAATATAAATATAATAAAAACTAATAATATAATAAAAATATAAATATAATAATAATAATAATATAATAATGAAAATATAAATATAATAAAAAATATAAATATAATAAAACTAATAATATAATAAAAATATAAATATAATAATAATTATATAATAATAATAATAATATAATAATAATAATATACATATAATAATAATAATAATAATAGTAATAATAATAATAATATAATAAAATATAAAAATATATAATAATAATAATAATAATAATTATTATTATTGTTATTATTATTATTATTATTATTATTGCGCAGTTTGAAGCATTTCTACGTTTGTTTTTAAATGATTGTCTTTTGTCCCAGTCAGGTCGCCGTACGGCCCCCAGCCGTCCGCACGTTCTCTGCGCGCTTGCGTCATGGATTTGCCCACGTGCAGATGTTTATGCTCCTCGTGCACGTCCGCGAGAGAAAGAGCGACATTGACGAACATTGAGAGTGACGACATCAAATTATAGAGCGGTAGAAGTTTAATGACGCGGATTTACTCTGTGTTTGTTGTTTGTTGTTTGTTGTTTGTTGTTTGTTGTTTGGTTTAATAAACTCTGTTAGTAAATAAACTGTTTTATTAAAGGGACTGTTGTGGTGCCTTCAGGCCGCATGGGAGACATTGTGTGCCTACGCTTTTTGTTATGAAGGCGGTTGTTGTGATCTCATTGTCTAACTTTAAAATATCTGAGACGACTTACAGGATGAAGACATTTTTATGGTCAGTTTACAGACTTTTTACATAAAAAAATAAGATGTAATCTTAAAAAAAATATATGTGGATTATAAATTTATACTATAAACAAATATGCATCTGTAGTTGTTTTTTGTTGTGTCTTTTTTCTGTTTATTTTGAATTTCACGTCTCTTTGTGAGGCCTTTGGTCTACTCTGTAGTAGTTCTGTTTTTATTGATCTGCCATATGTACAACAGTTCATTGGTAATGAAATTCTTACTTCTCACGCTCCTTTAATCCTGATACCATATGAATAATATGTCTCTTTGTTGTTGATCTGCGTCACTTTCAATTTCTTTAAACAATCTTCATACAATCTATAAAAAGCAAGAGAGACCGTATGTGGAATGGACGTTACGTGATTAACGTCAGAGTCAAAGGGAAATAAGACAAAAGGTAGTAAACAGATTAAATGGGATTACTAATGGAGACAAGGGGAGGAAAGGTAGGTGTGGGGTGTTTTTTTTTTTGTGTGGATGGTTGAGTTGTTGTGCAGTATATTATTTTAGTGGCTGTTTTAGTGATAACTCATTTGTTTATGGATTTGAGACAGGAGAGACATACCAGTCAGGATTATACAACCAAGCAAAACAAATTCAAGTTCCTCCCTGAGAGGCCAGTAAATAAACCTAGCCTGGTTTTTCTAAGGTCATCATTCTTCAACTGCATGAGAAAGGTTTCTTATTTGATCCAAAGTTCAACATCCCTTTTGGTAAATACTCATTCCATAAATCCAGTATACACTCTTTAGTAGTGGTACAAAGTAGTGATTGGTCATTGTCACAAAGTGGTTGTAGTTCTTCTGATGAATGAGGATGATTAAACAGTTTGTGTAAATTTGCTCGCAATGTAATTTTTTTTTTTAACTTTCAACGGGAAATAAGACAAAAAGTAGTGATCAGACCAAATGTGATTACCAATGGAGACAAGGGGAGGAAAGGTAGGTGTGGGGGTTTTATCAAGTGGGGAAGGAGACAGCAAGACATAAACATTCAGTATATGAAGATCAAGGGATTAGCAAGTGTGTAAAATGTGAATCACTATTAACCTGTTAAGCACATGTACAGTTATTCATCTGATCTGGACCATATTCCACTTTAACACACGAAGTGTACACACATATATTTAATGTTTTATACTTTTATTTTATTATATTTTATTCTTTCTCTGCTCTTGCACTACATTTCCCCTGCACTGCTGGACCAAATTTGAATTTCAATCTTATCTTATCCTGCTTTGGCAATGTAAACACGTGCTAACAAAGCCCCTTTGAATTGAATTAAAAATAAAAACACCACAAAGCTTTTTTTAAAAAAAAAAACATCTTCATTTCGCATTTTAAACATTTATTTTTCTATATTTTTTAAGAAGTTCCATATTTACGATTCTCCTCACGGCACCTGAACGCAGCTCGGTGGGGGGAAGGGTGCACCAGTTAAATCCCTCCCCGGATTTTTAACAACGCGCACGCAACCTCCAACTGCTTGTAAACAGAAGCTCACACGTGACGCCGAGGGAGCCGAGCAGCCGCGCGAGGCGAACGAGCGAGCGAGCTGCATTGTCTGCGAGACGGACAAAAGAGCGAACGCGAGTGAGCGCGAGCATCTTAGAAGGCAGGCAGGAGGAGGAGGTGGTGGTGGTGGAGGGGGGGGGACAGGTGTCATGACAACCGACGTTATCTGCCTCGATATAAAGCCGAGTTCTTCCCGCCGCTCGCAGCGCAGTGTCCGAACGCGTCCGGCCGCCGGAAACTTCTTCATGTCTGGACCCCGAACTCGGACCGTTCGGAGGGTCGACGACGGCAGCTGCGTTTTCCGAAGCTCGCACGCAGCTGGCAGCGGGTAAACAAAGCTGGGGGGACAGCCTTTGTTTCACCTCCTTAACTCGGCTTCAGCTGCGCTTAAAGAAGCTCACTTTTTTATTTTTATTTTATTTTTAATCGTAAGCTCGCATCGACCGTTAGCTACCTCTAGCTAGCTGTAGCCGTTAGCCGTTAGGTTTTTTTTTTTTTTTTAAACGTTAATCTTGTTTTTTTTTTTTTTTTTTTTTTTTGGGTTGTTTTTTTTTTTTTTACTTGGCTGGATGAGATGTCATTCACGATGGAGGATAACTTGGAGTCCGGGTGGGTGTCCGTCCGACCCAGAGTGTTTGAGGAGAAAGAGAGGCACAAATTCGACTTCATCGTGGCCTGGAACGACGTCGAGGGAAAGTTCGCCATAACCTGCCACAACAGAACCGTGCAGAAGCGGGCCACGTTTCCGGACGGCCACCCCGCCGATGTGCTTCCTGTCCCCGGTGCCTCCGTGGCAGAAACACGCACAAAAAGTCCTGTCACGACGAGGAAAGATGAAGCCGGTAAAGTTAGACCACATTCTGCCCCCAAAGGAAACCCCCCCAATAAGTAATTAAGGCTTTAAAAGTGTGTAGTTCAAGGACACACACATTAGGGTCCAGGGATAGTGACAGTGAAGGTTTTATTTATTTATTTATTTATATATATATTAGGGATGTGTATTGGCAAGAATCTGGTGATTATATTATAAGTATCCTGATATAATGGTTACAATTCAGTATATTGTGATATATTGCAATACTATAAGCTGTAATATATTGTGATTTTTAATTTAAAAAACATGGTATAAACAACACACAACTATATGTAAGCAACCAGAGCAGTTGTGTGTGTGTGTGTGTGGGGGGGGGGTTTAACCACAAAACAATATTATTAAGTAAAATATCGCGATAGGACAGTTTTCAGTATCTTCTCACACCCCCTCATAGATATCGAGATCCTGGACCCCGTGGACGTCCCGCTCTCTCCGGATGATGCACACCTGGCTGAGGGTGACAGCGGCGGCCATGAGGACTTCAGCTGGGCCGGGCTGTTATCCTTCCAGGACCTGAGGGCAGCCCACCTCCAGCTGTGCGCCATCAACTCGGACCTGGAGCCGTGTTTACCCTCCTTCCCCGAGGATCAGTCCGGGGTGTGGACGCTGTGGCTTTTCGGTGCCCCCGGGCTGTCGCAGATGGAGACGGACGCCCTGTGCTACCAGCTGAAGGTGTACCTGGGTCACGCCCTGGACACCTGCGGATGGAAGATCCTCTCGCAGGTGCTTTTCTCCGAGAGGGACGACATGGAGGAGTACTACGAGAGCCTGAGCGAGCTGAGGCAGAAGGGCTATGAAGATGCTCTGGAGAGGGCTAAAAGATGTATGCAGGAGGTGAGTTAACTTATCGTCGTCGTCGTGAGTGTTTTTGTACTTGAGTAGTTTATAAAAGTCTCTTTTTTTAAAGTCAGCTCTCTCTTACATGGAAAAGGACAACCGCAGAGTGGTGACATACCCAAAAAAACCATGTAGTTTTCAGAGTATAATTGAGCCTCATGGTCTGCTTATTCTCCTCCTCTTCCTTTGTCCCCCCCCCATCCACCCCCCATGTGATCTACCATCTGTTGCTGCACGTTCACAGGCCTGTAATATGATCTGCTCTGGCCAGACATCACACTCCAGTTGGCTGAGCGGTTTGAAGGGAGTTAACACAGAAACATAGGAGAACAATTAGAGGTGGAGTTAGTGAAACGATGTGTCACCACAGCTGTTGAGATTGTTTCAGTGTTAGGTCCAGACAGCTGAAGGCATGTATTTAACGCTAGAGTGTATTTTAAAATTCACCTCCGTAAGAAAATGTGCCAAATATAACCCAGCATGAGAAATCCAACTAGAGCGCTGCGGATACTGCCGGAAGTCTAAGTAAAACATGGTCATGATCACAATTACTGTGTGTGTGTTTGAGAGGAGACGAAGCCTGAAGCTAAAGTCTTTTAACATCCTCTGTTGTTTTTGTTCAACTGATTCACACACAAAGCACAAACAGCTGGCGAAGGGCTCGGCCCAACCAGGAAGAGATGACTAAATGTCTCACTTGTTTCTTTTTGAAGGTGATTGTTAACCATGTGTTGCACCTGGTTTTTGTTTAAATGATTCAGAGATGTGGTTTGATATGGTGTATAAATGCAGTGAATGATTCTTTTCTTCATCGGTTAATCTGCAGACTGTTTTCTCAATTAATTGTTTATCAATTTTATATATATATATATATATATATGATAGTTAAAAATGGCTTCTATAATCTCCCACAACCCAAGGTGATGTCCTCCAGAAATCTTTTGTCCTCTCATCCTCATATTTAAGAAGCTGGAAGCAGTGAATTTGACCAATAAAGATTATTCAGTGATCAGAATAGTTGCCAATTGATTTTCTGCCACTCGATTAATGGAAAACAAGAATAAGGGAGGTCAACTAACGTGTCTGTTTGCATGTAAAGACGGTACAGGGCTCTTTTTTTAAAGTGGCAGTAGGGCTGAAAGTTGATTTAACAACTAGTACATACACAGAAAAAAAAGTGTTAAATGCTTAAATGTGAGGATTTGCTTCTTTATTTATTTTTTACATCATTATAAGTTGAATATATTTTGGCTTTGGGCTGCTGGTTGTGGACAGCGTTCACTACTAAAAGACCAAGAAACCAATCATCGGATTTGAATCGATAATGCAGCTGTAGACAACGACAACCGACAAACAAAAGTATCTTCGTATCTTGTGGCAACGCAGTTGTTTCTGAAATGTTTTTAATATTGTGTTCAACCCATCTACATACATGGAGGAACACAGAATTAGAAACACATCATAATATAATCCAATCCAGAGCAAAACACACCAAAGACTACAACCTCAAAATCATCTCTCTGAGTCGGCAACAACGGAGGTTTTATTTATTACACGACAAGTTTTACTGGATTGCACGCGCTTCCAGCTCTTGAAAAGACTGTAGTCCAGATTTAATGACATGTTTAGGAGTAGGAAGAAAAACCGGATAAGTTTTTTACTTCAGTTAAAGTAAAATGAAAGTTTTTGTTTGATAATTTGTTAATCTTTTTAGTGTTTTCTTAAGCAAAATTTCCTGGTTCCAGCTTCTCAAATGTAAGGATGTGATGCTTTTATTTGTCATATGAGATTTAGCTGTCTAAATACTATACATTCTGTGTGTGTCACTATATTTCTAATATTTTATAGACAAAAACGATTAACCCAGAAAATAACCAGCCCATTAATAGATAATGTACTGTGTGTATACCTCATGCAGCGCTACTATGAAGAAGAGACTACAGAGTGGGATTAAAATATTATGTGATTAGGAGAAAGTATAAGGAGAGCATTACTTGTAGATGCTCGCTGGCACTGTGCCCATTAACAATGAGAGCACCAGCAACAGGTTTGAGTCTCACAGCCCCCGACGTTCAATCTGGGACGGTGTTTTCGGCCCCCCCGGTTCTATATTGTTGGAGCAGCTGCAGAATCACTGTTGTGGCCTTTTTTTATCACAAGATGACAGCTGAATGTCTCAACCCTGTTTGTGACCAGAACTGGGCCAATAGTTGACCAGATACTTGTAGTTTTTCCTCGTCTGTGGCCTGTTGTTAAGCAGAATTAGGCTTACAGCTTGCCTACAGTAAACCTGTCAAGCTATTAGTTAAATTTAATGTCTTAACCTTAGTCAGCTGTGTGTGTGTGTGTGTGTGTGTGTGTGTGTGTGTGTGTGTGTGTGTGTGTGTGTGTGTGTGTGTAAGTAAAGTTTTTCAGGAAGAATGAGTCACAGATGACAGCGAGTCTTTCTCTGTGTCTTTACTGGAAGATTTCCCCCCTTTTATTATGTGTTCCTGTTGGCTGCTGTAGGTTTGGGGTGTGTGTGTGTGTGTGTGTGTGTGTGTGTTTGTCATGGTGAGTGTGCACGTTAGCCACCGGTGCTGCTGTGGGATTAGTCTGCCATACTGTTGCCTTTGTGGGACGACATTTTAGCTTTAGTTTGTTTACATTGCATGATTCAAACTGGGGGTATGCAGGCGGGTTTTTTAGCCACTAACACATATTTATTGTCACTACAACTAATGTGCACATGTTGCCAACCAGCTGTGTCTTTCTGTTTTACCTGTGTGCACGTTACCTGTTGATGCTGCTTCTGCTGGCTAAAATCCTCTACATTAAATTCCCTTTTTCTTAAGATTCATTTAGGATTTTATGGCTCCTAAGTGGTGCTCGGTTCATTCAGAGAGCTATTAAACAACAGTGTCTGCTCGGATCACAGGCGAGGCGTGTTCCTTCTGTGAGATATTTCAATTAAAAGGCAGAGAGAAAAGTCCTCCAGCAAGACGGAGCAGATTTAGTACCGACAGTTAGTCCTGATGATAGGGCTGAAGCAGCTATAGTATAGCTCATATCACTCTGAACCTCTTATAGTTATCTACTCATCGAGTGCTTTCTGTAGTACTTCTACTTCTATATCTTTTTATACAAGTTGGAAAAGTGATAAATCAGTATTTGTGTTTAAAAAAGCGATGTTGGAGATTTATAAGCAATAAAAATGTAAGATATTTAAATTCAAGATCAGTTATGAGACCACATTTGCTGCCTTTAACTAAAGTAAATCCTGATTTAAAAAAAATAGATTGCCAGATTAACAGTGGATATTGTGGAATAATCATACTTATATTTTCTCATTGGGTTACCTTTAAGTCAATTTAAATAAAAGTGAAATTAAAATGTTCCCCATTTTTCTGGTGACGACCTGGAACGCCCTTAATGACCCCTGGTATTACATAATCACAATTCACAACCCAGATAATCAGTGTACAACAAAGAAAAGCAGCAAATCCTCCCAGTTGGGAAGCTGGAACTCTGGACTTTGGTTTAAAAAATGACTTAAATAATACAAAATAGCTGCAGATTAATTTTAAGCAATCAGTCGTCTAATCAATTAATCAACTAATTGTTTCTGGGTCTAATTAAAACAAGTAATCCCGCTGCCTTTTTGAAGTGCAGGCTCATCAGCTCACATACCGAGCAGTCACGGCCCCTCTGGTTTGCTGCATTTCACCATCAACGCATAGATTTGAATATGTAAATACAGTCACAGAGATGTTATAAAGAAACGACTGTCTTCAAGGGAAGTAGTAAATGTGGATCCAGTTTCAGTGATTTACTCATTAACTCTAAGTAAGTTTAATCTAATGTAAGTAAGGTAATTAAACTTGAACACTTTGTTGCTCAGCTCGTGGCCTGGTGGCAGAAGCCGGCTCATTTAGCCCAAGAGGGGTTTTCCTGGGCTAAGCAAGGGGCAGGGAGTCGGTGTATGGTTGGCCAGTGGTTACCAGGGAGACACAGACCAAAGGTAAACAGTAGGAGCAGTGTTCGAGCTGAATCGTTCAGTGTCTATCCCGGTCTCCCCCAAAACGTGGAGGACTTTGGGAAAAGCAGCCTGGAGTTAATATAAGAGTCTCTATTCATATCTATATAGCTCCTCGCAGAAAGAAGAGCACTTTATTCACCACTCTGGGGACGAGCATTGGGTGGTGGCACATTTCAATATTATCTGAGGCAGGAGTGAAGGAGAAGTATTGTGCTGGGTGAATTGGAGCTACTGGTTTCTAAGAGCTGGGAGATGAATTGTATTTGTGTGTACAATAGCTGTTCTGATAGTGTTTATCTCACGAACAATGAACAGTCTGTGGATGGCAGGGACATATGGTATGAATCAACAACAGTCGGGGCCAATTTATTCTCATTGTACTACACACTCAAACAATATATTTTATAGTATCATTCCTGACCACACACACACTCACACACACACCCATGTGCCTGTGCTTACTCTCTCACACTCTTTACTCTTGCTTTTATAGATTACACTTGGATTTTCTTCTTTTCCTTGAGCTTTGAAAGAACTTTTGTTTAGGACTCATTGTGACTCACTACACACTAAAATACACCTATTTAATTTAGCAAAGTTAGCGTCAAACACTTCAGTACAACAGTATTTTCTGATGTCAAGTGTTTCATTCTGTCAGTTGATGTTCTTTATTTTATTTCTCTTATTGTCAGCAAATACCATGAAAACACCACAACCAACAATGTATTTATTAGTATTGGTGGTGTAGCCGTGTGCCATTGGCCTCCATTGTTGTCCAGAAACTATAAAATACATATCAATGAACATGTTCTAGGGTGACATCTTCCTTCATTACTGTGACTCTGGTGCTGTAAACTTACTCACTACTAGTACTCACTAGACTAGAGCACCAAATCTGTTACTTTCTCAATTAGTTGTTTGGTTTATTGATTGTAAAACAGTCAGTTGAATTGATGTTTTGAAATGTCTTGTTTTGTCTAACCAACAGTCCGAAACCCACAAAATATTCAGTTACTATCCTACAAGCATCAGAACAACCAGCAAATATTCACATTTGAGCATCTGAAGCAAGTTAACTTTTGGTATGTGTGCTTAAAATATAAAAACGTCTACAGTGCCCAGCCGTAAAATAAGGCCTTGTTCAGACTGCTGACCCAAATCAATTTTTTGGCATATCCAGATTGTGTTCGGATTGATTTTAGACCGTCTGGACAGCAGAACAACCACATGAAATGTGATTTCTGTAAAAAGGATCCAAGCCACATTTGGAGGTGGTTTGAAATCGGACACTCTGGCTGCTCAGATCGAATGTTAAAAAGTGCCTTTTTTTTGAGTTTCTCTCAATGCGACACGCAGCAGCGGCATTAAAACCAGAGTGATGGAAGTGCATCAGAGCGGCTGAGCAGAATCCACGCTGCTGCTGCCACTGAGCAACTTTTAATAGGAAGGAATGAGGCCAAAGCCTCCAACTCTGTATCCACTTCTCTTTATGCAACTGTGGCTGCTACAAAAACAGATGCTGACATAAATTGGCACTTTGGGGGGGGGGGTGCTTCTGTACATGTAAAGCTGCAGGGATCTTAGTCCCTCATCATGCTTCCACGTTGGAAAGCTGCGTCACTGATATGTCGTTATTCACATCTATATTCAGGATTTATGGACACAAATCATATACAAATGAGTGTGGACAGTCCTTGAATGAAAGAATACGTTGGGTTTTGGTCTTCCTCTTTTCCAATTTCTGAGCTACATCGTTTTCCTCTACGTGTTTTTTGTCGCAGGTGTTGGACAAACACAAAGCCATGGACAGCATGGTGGAGCTGCTGCAGGTGTACCCCGAGGAGGACGAGGCGTACGGAGAACTGCTGGAGGCAACGACTCAGCTCTACCACTACCTGCTTCAGCCTTTCAGGGACATGAGGGAACTGGCAATGTTGCGCAGACAGCAGATTAAGGTAATACACACACAGACACACACACACACACACACATAGATACAAATACCATCTGTTTAAGGGCTTGATTTAAGTAGGTTTAGACCGTACTGTAACTGGTCTGTTCCTGGTACACACTTTGACTTGTGTTTGACTGCCTCTACTACAGCGTACTCCACCAGTTACCATGCTGTTTTTTTGTGGTTTGGCGGTTTTAAAAGCCAAGGTTAGTGCCGGGAACCGAGCCCTGAACCACTGCACGGTAATGTCCTCCATTGAGTCTAGCCACCTAAGCCCACTGTAATGACATTAGCTTAGATGCTGAGGGTACATGTGATGATGATGATGATGGTGTAGTAGTAGCCGATCTGTGCTACCCTGTAGCTTTGCATCTGGGGGCAGAGGATCAGCCAGAGAGGCCCCCCCCCGGCCCAGAGCGGCTTAACAACCAGCATAAGTATTATTACAGCAGCCACTAAACCACTCAGTAATTCTGCAGCTTCAGCACACTCTTCTGTTTTCCACACTCTTTCTCGGCTCCATCTTTGTTGTTTTTCTTCATTAGAGGCTTGAAAAGGGAAGTAAATCCGCGGACTAATCTCTACTGTCCCACGGCCTTTGAAGAGCTGGGTTCAGTCTTAACACACGCCTGGTTGGGTCAGTAGGTCAGAGTCCTTCACATCATTAAACAAGCAACAATATCAGACTAACGTTGGCCACATTTATCAATACTACCATGTTACCCAGACCTGATGAAGGAATGTCAGCCGCTGTCTTTGCTGGATTCGGGTATTTAATGTAAGGTGTTTCTAAAAATAAATCTCACAATATTGTACAAATTTACGATTTGCTTCCACTCCTTTTGAAAACCCTCTGCTCTAGAGTAAACTACTGAGTGTCTGTTACATGCTGAGCAGGGAAGCAAAGTGTATGACACTGTGGGAAAATCAAGACAACTCGCGCTGTAAACAGGAAGCGTAACGTTGCCATGGATTCGGTGGCTTACAGTTGGCCTATTTGTTTACATTTTGGCAAATTGGGACCATTTAAATGTTGGCTGAATTAACTATTATCAGTTCCTGTTTGCAGTGTATTCATGGATGCACAGACAACTATCACTGGATTACTTTGGATACTAAAAGAAAACTTTAAAATTAGTTGATTATGTGTATCATGTTCAGATTTGACCAAGTTATGACTTTGTGAAGGAGGAGTTAATTTATTGATGCAAATTGTGCAGTTTATCTTCCCTTGTGAGGTTGGTGAATCATCAATTTGCATCCTCACTGACAGATGCAGTGCTGCATGAACTGCAGTTCTATAAAAGGTTATTAAAGTATTGTACATTAAATTTAAACAGGAATTTATGAGGGGGACTAAGTACAACACACACTCAGAAGAGTTGATACGGAAATTAAATGACACACAGTAAATGTAAAGCACTATACAGCCACCGTGAACAGGTTGGTCCAGATCCCTGTCTGACTCTTGAGGTGGAGTCCAATCCACAAAGGAGGCGAGGAGAGAGGAGAGGCAAAAATAACAAGCTTATCCAAAAGGGAGAACTTGGCCAGAGACTGTATGTTGTTAGCCAGAGTGGTCAGGGAGTCCGCAACGATGTTGGAGTTCGGCAGGAGAGTGTGCAACTTGTGTCGGCTTTGATGTTCTGTTACGTTCTGGTGCTGAGGGATGTTTAACTGGACACACACTGTGTATCTGTCTTTGCTCCCCTCTCATAGACTCTCTCAGTCGTTCACCCTCTGTTGTGTTGTGAGTACTTTGCCTTCTCTAAACTACATTCCTCACAGCATGCGTATCCAGCATCGTGTCACTAACCAGCATAAGTGACTGTGTGGGTGTGTTTTTATGACTGTTTATTATGATGGTATTTGGGTTTTTTGGGCGGCTGCTGATCTAATTTAAGAAATGTCACTGAAAATTTACGAAGCATTTTTCTTAAACGATCAGTCTGTGATAATTCATGTTTTTGTTATTGTCAATCTCAAGAAAAGACAAAACATCAGTAAGGAATTGATCGTATTAATAGATATTGAATTGCGTATATACAGTAGCTTCTTCCTCTGGGCCGTAGAGCTCCATTGTTGTTCAACAACCATTAAAAACACATCAATGAGCCGCACTGCATGACACGTTCCTTCATTACCATGAACACACACACACTGTAGTTTATTTTGACTCACTCCCCCATACACCATCCTGTTGCCCAAAATAACTCACTAGAGCACCAAATATATATATGTTGTTGTGTATGTGTGTGTGTGTGTGTGTGTGTGTGTGTGTGTGTGTGTGTTAATACTTATTTTTCTTTAGAATGAAACTGTAGATATGTGTTCTGTTTTTTAAGGACTTAATCAGTAGCAATTGATGAGTTTAGGGCTTTTAAGGCCGAGGTGGAACTGGTCAAAAAAGTGTTAAGAGACGGACTAACACTCTTTATGTGATTTACTGACGATATAGACAAAAAAAGAAAACACCAAACTGCAGCTAATGAAGATTATTTTCTTTTGTACTTTAGTGGCAGGAAAAAAGCGAAAAATGTAAAATTGGTGTATTCAAATTGCTTGTTTTTGTGCAACCAACAGACTGAAAGACTTTTAAAAAGATGTTTTATTAATAAAATATCAAAATAGTTGCAGATTAGAGCAACTTTAGTTCTGTCAGCTAAATTTATACATGAGAACTTCCTCAGGGTTCGGCTTGAAACTGAACATTTTTAACTGGAGGCAGAGAGGATCTCATTAAAGACACTTTTACTTTCTATAATGTTAATTGTAGTTTGATCACACTAGAGGCTAAAAGTCAGGATATTTAGACCTGACCTGCTCTTCCTGAGAATCTGAACTCTGTACGTTGCCAAAGTTTCCAGCTCTACCACCTGCTCCCCCTCGGGGCGATCCAACGGCTGAAAACAAAGCTGTATGCAAATTAATTCCTTGATGCCGGCAGAGGCGGTTGGTTTCTCCCAAACTGATGAGTCAGGGGATGTTCTCCTTTTTTAGTGGAGGGAGTCGGGAATTAAAGCACAGGATACTGTCATTTACATACTGTTTGCATCCTACTGTTGCAAAGGTGAAGTGATAAAGACTAAAGCAGCCGAGTATCACGGCTGCTCGCTAGAAACGACAGAAGATCCTGACTTCATCTGCAAGTGTGAATAAACAGGACACGTGAGGTTGTTGTAAAGCTACACTACAGTGCTTCAGGCTAAAAGAGTGTTTGAATGAACTGGAATTAAGATTCAATCTTCTCCACCAGAGGCGTCAAACGGTGGAAGGAATGATGTCGATGGTTTGTGGAGTTTAGGAGGAGTTTAAAAAAAAGTGTTTTTGTCAGCTGTGATATTTCAAGGTTGGTGTATTTCAGGGCTGCACAGATGGTTTACAGTGAATTAGTGCTATAATAATTAACAATTATGGTTCAAAATGTACTTTCTTTGTACCCATAGGTAGATTTTGTTGGCAGTGAAAGACATTCCTCTTGACAAAAGTATAAAAACACTCAAACATGATTCAAATATGATAAATGATAAAAGTTCTTCAAAAAAGAAAAAGATCAATGAAAAAATAATAAATCTGACTGATAGCTGTTGGAACAAAGCTATTTTTCTATCGCTTTATACAAGTTATTTAATTGATTATTTGTTTGGTCTATAAAATGTCTATCCCTAATTCTGAAATTGTGATTTCTCCGAGTTTACTGTCACACAAAAAAAGGAAAAGAAGCAAATCCTCACAAATGAGCTTAAACTTGATAATAAGTTTAACCTTTTTGCTTAGAAACTTGAATATTCGCCCATTTATTTATTCTTTGTTGATCAACTAATCGATTAAACGACAAATTGTTGCAGCTCTCCTTTTTAAATAATCGACAAATGTTATCTTCTGAACACTTTCTACTCCCCTCCCGTTACTGAATCGATGAATGAAGGAGCAGATGGAGCGGTGAACGAACCACAATGCACCGCTCACCAAAATACTTTGACACCCATTGTTGCTGATTCATTCAGACGGGGTTGGTTCAGTGTGGGTGTCCTATTACCTGCAAGGTCAGAGGGCAGCCATGAATTAAAAATGTAGGTTCTCTGTAACGGGTCTGTGTTACTTTAGTACCACGCTGATCTCCAGTTACTGTTTCACATCGATTGCCCGACGGTTGTCAAGGTGATCACTCAAACATCTGTTGCGTTTACATCCAGCTGTCAAATTTTTACATAAATGTTGAAATATCACATAAAATAATATTCAAATTTATTTCCTCCATGACCTGAATCTACCTGAATGTTGATTATTAGGATGTGGACACTAATTAAATACAACATATTTATAGGTATTGACTATATAGATTGAATAAGGGGTTAATTATTTTCATTATCTATTCAGTTCATTATGTTTTTGAGTAATCGATGATTTATTCGGTCTATAAAATGTCTGAAAATGGCGAAAAATGTTCACATATATACAAATATTTAAATTAAGGATAAAATAATGAAACAATACAGTTATTCATGCACATACTTGTACACATATACACCCGTAAAGTAATAATTCTGTAGTATATTGTATTTATTTGTATCTGGGGAAGTGTAAACAACAACAACAGTAAGATAGTGTTGAGATACGTTAACGGTTTTGTTGACAGACTGATTGATTAATTGTTTTACTTCTTTATGAACCAGATTAATAGTTCAGACTGCTGATCAAGAAGTCAGTGGAGAGACGATGCTGAATTCAGTGTATTTTAATGTATAATGTACATTTATAGCACATAAACAGACATTTAATGGGGGGCTGTAAGCTTTCATCGAGTTTTATAAATAAAAGGTAGAGGAAAGACAGATCCAGATGTTTCCCATGATTCCCTGGTGATCTTGTCCCAAGTATCCCGGTACAACTGTGAGAGAGGTCTGTTATCTTAAAGGTCTTTCACTATGTTGTTGTTTTTGTCAATAAAGACCAAAACCAACAACATGTCAATACTTTGCACCTTCATTACCCCGTCTGTGGCTCTCCTACTGAAGATCTCAGCTCTCACTGCGTCCCACTTTAGTTTTTATCAAAGGTCGCTCAAATAGGAGTAAATGGTGTATTTTGTTGGGGACTACTTTCACTGTTTCATCCCAAACCTTTTTTAAAATGAGTAGCTTTGTTACATCCATCCACCCATCCTCCACCTGATAAAGACAGCCTAGTATTTAACTCTGTGTCACTCACAAAAAGGCCATTTTACCTGCTATTTAAACCAGAAGAGATAAGGGCCACCATGACGGTATCCATGCTGTAATCCCGGCACTTTACCACGAGAACTGGCGTCACTTCTATTTTCAGTGAGTCTGACACGTCTGTGTTTTGTCACCAGCGTCTGTTGACCAGAGGTGTTAAAGGAACTCGCTCACACATTCCCCCCGCTTCCTTCCTGCTTGTTATTTTTATTTTTTTAATCGAACACAAAAAGAGGAGTAAAACACGAGTTGGTAGCCGATACTACACCGGTGTAAGACTGGTGCTTTGTTTACTGGCATTTACAGACCGAAGATGCTCCGACTGATCTCATCTGTCCTCTGCCTCGCGCCGTATGAGTACGATGACTGAAGGGTGCTTACATTGTGTGTTATTTATGAGGCGGGGCAGCAGTTGACTGACACCAGTAGATTAGAGGGAAAGTGCTTTATAGATAACGAGCTGATGGGATGATGTGGTGGAGAGAGAGAATCATCTCTACCTACTGTCTGTATCTTTCAGTCCCACCCAGCCGACTGTACTGTACATATTTCATTAATGTCACCTGGCCTGTTTGTAGAGCAGCTTTACAAGTTTATGTTCAACTCTTTTTTGTTGTTGTTGTTGTTTTAGTTTGGCCTCCATATGGAAGTGAAGACAATTAGTCCCAACAAACAAAGCCAAAGTTATAGCTTATTGCATTATTATTGTTATTGTTTACAGTTTATTTATCTACAAATGTTTTATTTTTACATGAATTCCTAGTTGTTTTGTTCCTTCTTTTGTTATTTATGCACATAAATGTACACGTATCCGCCCGGAAAGTAATAATTCTGTTGCACAGTGCATTGTGTTTATTTGTGTCTGGGGAAATGTAAACAACAACAACAGCAGTAAGATAGCGTTGAGATACGTTTACGGTTTTTGTTGACTGATTAATTGTTTTACTTCTAAATGAACCAGATTAATAGTTCAGACTGCTGATCAAGAAGTCAGTGGAGAGACGATGCTGAATTCAGTGTATTTTAATGTATAATGTACATTTACAGCACATAAACAGACATTTAATGGGGGGCTGTAAGCCTATATCAAGTTTTATAAATAAAAGGTAGAGGAAAGACAGATCCAGATGTTTACCACAGATCCCTGGTAATCCATTACTTGTCCCAAGTATTCCTTTTGTTTTAGTTTGGCCTTATACCAGCCGACTGTACTGTACATATTTCATTAATGTCACCAGGCCTGTTTGTAGAGCAGCTTTACAAGTTTATGTTCAACTTTTTGTTTTAGTTTGGCCTCATTACTCCCAACAAACAAAACCAAAGTTGTAGCTTATTGTATTATTATTGTTATTATTTACAGTTTATTTACGTGAAATCTTTGATGCTTTGTTGCTTATTTAGGTTGTCGTGCCTGTTGATGTTGTGTTTTTCAGGTTTGTTTTTGAGTTGGTGTTAGTGATTCTAACATCTAACCATGTTTGTTTTTCCAGTTCTCAGCAGCCTTATTAAAACACAACAAGAACTAAACAGAAAGATTTGTTCTAGTAGTGCGAATGCTTTTCTGCTTTGCATAAAACCAGTCTAACAGACTGACAATCAGGGGCCAAACTTGAAACTGAGATGTTTTGCTTTTATTTTGACAACAACGTCAAAGTTAAACAACAGACGCCTCTAAATGTCAGTATGACATGTCACCTCCTCCGACTGATCTGCTCAGGGGCAGATTGTCTCTGCCAGTTGTCGTCCTGTTGGGTGTTAAATGTTGGAGCTTGCTCTCGTCTTCAGATTAGTTCACGTTACTTGCAGCTCTTTCAGTGCTTTGTGTTAAAGGATACCTAAACAGTGAGATCAGAGCTCGAACGTAACCCGAGTTAGTTCATATTTTCTTTCTCTTTTGACTCCTCTCGTTCCTAAAAGTGATTTTCTTTTCCTTTCTGGTCTCTGACGTAATCTCCCACCTCCCCCACTCGCTCCCGGTTTCACCCCAAAACCACTCCCTGTTCTTGTGCCTCACGTGCAGACTCTCTCTCTCTCTCTCACTAACACACACACACTGAGTATGCTCGTTAACCTAAATCAAGGCCTTTTGAGGTTTGTTGGCGATTTGCTGTTTATTTTTGAGCACCTACACACATCTGTTTAACATTGAGATATTAATATATGACTGTAAAGTGCACGAGGCCCTCACAGGGACTTAATCTGTCTGTGTACATTTTGTTCCATGTGGTCTTCTCTTAGAGGGTTAGAGGGTTGAGGGTTGAGGGGGGTAGGGGGGGATTCAGTTCACAGTCAACACCCAGGACCGGACTACACGTGGCACTGCCTTTTCCCTGTTTCTCACTCTTTTTCACATGGCCTGACACGAGCTGGTGGTCTGTGGAGACTGAACTCAGGTTGACATGTGATGTTTGTCATGTGATCATACAAAAAGATTTGTCTTGTTTGTTTGCAGAGATTTGTTTATTTTATTTATTTATTGTTCCACTAGCCCAGTAGGACACTGGGTTAGTGTCACTCCAAACATAAACACACACACAGGCATGTCTCTGGTCTCTGCTCACGCGTACCACCACCTGCTGTAACCTGCTGGTATTACAGTCTGTGGTCTGTGCTGGAGGACTTCACACTCTGAGGACACATGAAGGCGGTTAAGCTACTTTAACACCCTTACCGCCAGACTTCTGCAATTTGCGTCATGATAGTTTTCCTTTGCAAAGTCATAACTCTGGACAGACATGACATACATAGTTTTAGGTCTAGTGTGACTTCCCAAGGATATCATTTTGATGTCCTTAGTGAATAAACATCCATAAATCAGCTGAGAAGTTTAAAAAAAGATGATCTATTACTGCAGAAGCTGCAACAATTAGTAGATTAATCAATTAATTGTCAACTATTACATTTATCGACAATTATTGTGAGAGTTGATTAATTGTTTTCAGTCATTTTTTAAAAATAAAAATGTCCAAATTGTTTTTTCAGCTTCTCTGACGTGAATATTTTCTGGTTTCTTTAGTCTCTCTGTGACCGTAAACTGAACATCTTTGGGTTGCAGACAAAACGAGACATTTGAGGACGTCAACTTGAGCTTTAGAAAACAGTTTCTGACATCAATCAATCAAAGAGTCTGATTATTTGCCATGGCAACATTACAATTACTGTTTATTATAGGCTATATATAACAAATGACTGTTAATAGAAACCTTTGTCAGGTTGCACTATAAATATATAAATGTGGTAATTTGGTGTCAGACAACCTCTTTATACAGACTAAAGTTTTAACAATCTGCTCTGACCCCCCCCCAAATCAGGTCTCTCTAGAGACGGAGCGCCTCGGTCCTCGCCGTGTGGAGAGCCTGAGGAAAGAGGATGAGGAGTGGCAGAAGAAGGCTCACGCCGCTGTGCTCACCATACAGGACCTGACTGTCAAATTCTTTGAAACCACGACTCGAGCACAGAAAGGTAAACACACGAAAGGAGGCCCTTCCTCTCGCTCTGAAGCAGCGTAGGGACTTTGTCTTTGCGGTGACCTTTGAACCTTTTGTGTTGTATGTTTACTCCATAACAAAGTGAAGTTATCACTCCACATAGAGATTATTTAAAGCCAACATTTCCCCTCTCGGATCCTCATCTCCAACCTCTCACATACCAAAGTCCCCCCCCCTTCATCTCGGCTATGAGCGGCTCGGAAACACGTCAACTAATTTCCGTTCAGGCTGGAATTAGGCTCCACTTAGAGGAATCTAAGCACTCATAGTTCCCAACCTTTTTCCTTCAGGGACGTCTTTTCTATCATTTAGTAAACTGACGCTTATGTGACATATTTAATGGATATTTCATATTATATTCAGAACTGTACAATGAACCCAAACAGTGAACTCTAACTGCAGGAAGTTTCTGTAAAACGAGGGATGAATTTTGAGTAGGTTATTTCCTGTTTAGGGAACTTTTTATATAAAACTCTGTCTATATTAGGCATTTTCTATCATCTTTATTGACAAATTCAGTCTTTTTTTTTGTTCTCTTAGACTATTTACTTTACATTTACTTTCTTACACACCTTAAAATGAAGCAGTACTTGTCCCCATGAAGCTTTGGCGACCCCTAGAGGGGTTTTTATTGTTTTGTCTGACCAACTGTCCAAGAGCCAAATACAAACGCTATAAAACAAAGCAGAACATCCTCACATCGGAGAAGCTGATACTGGGGAAGTTTAGCATGTTTTCTAAACAAGTAAATACTCAAACTAGTAGATTCATCGATTAGTCGCTGCAGCTCTGGTCCATTTCTGACAATCACACGTGTGTGTTGCAGCTTTGTATGAGCGGATGCGTGCCGACCAGAAGAAGTTTGGCAAGTCGGCGTGGGCTGCAGCCGTCGAACGCATGGAGCGGCTGCAGTACGCCGTTTCCAAAGAAACACTGCAGCTGATGAGGGCCAAAGAAATCTGCCTGGAACAGAAGAAACATGGCTTGAAGGAAGAGGTAAAATACACTGAGACACACACAGACACACACACACACAGACACACACACTGATACAGACAAAGGTGTGTTTGTCAGAAGCCACAATGACAAGAGTGAGAAACACAAACACTTGGGTATAGATAAGTTGAGGGAGAACGGGGAACAAAGCAAGATAATGGCCATGTTTGAAAAATGACCTCATGGTTCAGACATCCTGTAATGGAGAGAATAACATCCTGCTCCACTCCAGTGGAAATGACTCATTGGGAATTACTGTTGGGGTCAAATACTTGTTTTACATGTAAATACAAGAAAACTACAAAGTTCCTGGTCTGTGCAGCAGATTATTAACTGGTTGCACTTAAATAAAAATCATTCAGGAAGGACTGTAAGGCACTCTGGAAGAATCACCCAGCCTGCTGTGTTTGCCCTCTGGTCTGTGGTAAATGAGTAACACAACCTTTTTGTGCCTGTGGTTCTAGATGCGGAGTCTGCAAAGTGGAGAGGATGCAATGCTGCGTCTGGACCAGCTGGAGGCGCTGTACTACGAGTTGCAGCTGCAGCTGTATGATATCCAGGCAGAGGTGCTGCGCTGTGAAGAGCTGCTGCTCACTGCTCAGCTGCAGAGTCTACGGAGGCAGATGACGGGTGAGCTGGTTGTTTGTGTTTATATGTGACAGATGATGGAGCCTGAATCATATATTGGTGATATATTGATACGGGGGAATATATTGGCTGATAAGTAATCGCAGTCCAGAAATACCAAAGATATGTTTGAGGTGACATTACATAGATTTTCACCAATTTAAGGTGTACCACTTTGTACTTTTACATCTTTATTATTTAAATGTGTTTAATATTGATCAGTATGGTTATCAGATTTTCTGTGGTTGAGCTCCACAAAACTGTAAATAAAATTAAAAAGATGTTTTTAAAAATGTCTACGTTGTTCTAAAATTACTGAAGATGTTCAAATGCAGTCTGATCTTTATTTACTTTAGTTTATTACATTATTTATCTGGTACAACAAACATTCTCGTACGAAGATGAGGGATTTATTGATTTCCAATAGCTTTTCACCTTCATTTTTTTAGCTATAAGTTGGTTTTCAGGTAAATGAGCTGTTGGTTGCACAGGAACCTTTTTTTTAGGTGCTTTACTGTATTTTGATGAATCTGTTGTGATTGTTGTACCAGAGCGTCAGGATGAGGTGGTGTACTACGACGCCTTCGAGAGCCCCGACGCCATGAAGGGCGAACAAGATCTCGCAACCCCGCCGTCCCCCCTCAGAAATGAAGAACTCGCTGTCTTACAGCAGAGGACGCGGCAGCTCGAGGCTCGCCGGGGCCGCATCACTGCCAAGAAAGTCTACCTCAAAAACAAGAAGGTAAAAGTCTGACGATTAACGAGGCAGTTAGACGACGTTGAGGTTGAAGACATCGTCTGGAAAGTGTTTTTATAGCAGCTGCACACGTTGGTTTAGTATCATTCATGTGCTTTTTGTCCTGAATAGGAAATCTGTATCGTCAACCACAACCAGAAGATACAACAGCGACAAGGTAGCCATGGTGACGGCAGTTCCCTGCAAACACTGCTGCAGGTAAGACTCAGATATTTATCAGTCTGTGGCAACTGGGGGAGCTCGATATGGATCTTTTATTCAGCCGATACAATAACCAATAATTCCATGTTTGTATTTTAGAAACAAGTTAATAACCTGAAGTTTATGCACAACGGAGGGAAAGAGAGGCTGAGATATAATGAGCAAAGATGGATGATTAAATCTTAGGTTTAAAAGTTTAAATGAACCATGTTAAACAGACAAACACAGGTTAGAATAAACCAATAAATCAATAAACTTTGGAATCAATCACTACTTTAATTACTCAATAACCCCGTTGAACCTTGGAAGTCGTTACTACATTTATCTACTTTCTCTCCTTGTGAAGGGAGAAGCTGAGGAAGATGAAGGCAAGAGAAACGCCAGAGTGAGTCAGGAGAGGCAGAGGACTCTGGACCGACTTCGCAGCCTCAAACAGGTGAGAACTCCCGACACCCGCCGTCAGCTCCCGTTTGACCTTTGACCCGATCCGTGTGTCTGACCTCCTCCTTCTTTTTGTGGTCTCCCCTCGCAGCGCTACCCGGGCCAGGTGACTCTGAAGTCCAGCCGGCTGCGTCTGAATCAGCCTCACAGCCGGCGGAGAGCGGGACAGCAGCCCAGCACTCAGGCGGTCAGCGTTCAGACCGACTGCTCCGATCTCCCAGAACTCTCTGCTCCGCCCGACGCCTGCGGCTGCGACAGCGTCTCTTTGCCAACGGTTCCACTCCAAAGTCTCGACTCTTCACCTCCCTTCCTCTCGCTGCCTCCCCTCTCGGCCTCCCCGTCTATTCTTTCACTCGGTCCCCCTCCACCTCCCCCGCCTCCTCCTCCACTTCCTCCCTCGGAGGACCAGCAGCAGGGCGAGGGGACGGAGACGGGCAGCCCACTGCGGCACGTTACCTGCGAGTCTAAACCTTCCTCGCTGCCCTCGGCTCGGTTCTCCCCTCGAGTATTTGATAGCAGCCAGCTGCTGACGGCGAGGACGAAGCTGAGGAAGACGGCCTCGCTGGACTCGGGGAGGAAAGGTGAGGAGTAAAGTTATAATCCTTTTATCACTGGGTTTAATACTACAAATCCCAGAATTCAAAGCGGCAAACACGCGTTGAGCTCAGCTACTTTGTCAGAAATACAACAGAAGAGCAGCGGCTGTATATTAACATATTAAAATGTCCATTTCTTGTTTTTAGAGATGTGATGAGATTTTATTGATTCCAATACCATTATTGATTCTGCTTTGTCGATTCCTACATTGACTCCTGAACTACTTTCTGTGTTTTAATCATCAATGCAACCGTTGTATTAAACACTAATCACAGTTATAGTAGTTAGAAGGTATTAAGAAGTCTTAAATTTAACTTGTGAAGGTCTTAAATAAAGGTTGTAATGTTAGTTATATCTGATTGTGGGCTGTTGTACTTCTATAAACTAATAATAGGATTGTTGTTTCAGTTCATTAACGGCTACAGCTACAGTAGCTGTGGAGAAAAGTGTTAGTTTTAACACAGACGTGATGAAAATTAATGAATTAATTGGTTAATTCATCCATTTTAAACTGATTATCTGGATCCATGTTGCATCCGTTTGATTAATTACATCATTAGTTTTGAATTATTGGTGAAACTTTGCTGGAAAGTATTAAAAATGTTTGTTTTCCATCATACTTTCATACTTTTATCGTTATAATTGGTATTAAATTATTTAAAAAGTCTCAAATATTTAATTTGTTGGACCCAGAAACTCACTTGACGCTAATATTTATCTCCGTCTGCAGCGAGCACCCCCATGGACGAGGTCCTGGCCACTCTCAAGCGGGGCAGTTTCCACCTGAGGAAGGCCGAGCTGCGGGTTCTGGCCCCCGACCCGGACGACGAGAGCGACAACATCCTGGCTCAGATCCGGCAAGGCATCCGGCTGAAGAAGGTACGGACCCAACCGGAGAAGCAGCGTCAGGCCAAGAGCTTCCCCCACGCGGCCGACGCTCTGACCCGCAGCATCCACGAGGCCCTGAGGAGGATCAAAGAGGCGTCGCCGGAGTCCGAGTCCGAGGACGAAGGCCTTCCGTGCACTGACTGGGAAAACTAGCTCCTGGCTTTTATTGGAATAACTTTTTTTTTTTTTTTTTTAACTTTTATCTTTTCTGGATACGTGGAGCCAAAACGAAGAGAAAGCGGTGGCTCGAGTTACGAGGACGAGCCAGGATTAAATCACCCGGAGACACCTCGGTGCAATCCGAACAAAAAAACCCTCGATTGTTTTTATACATCAAGAAAAAACTGATCAGAAGTATTTTTGTTTTTCATACTTCTGTACGTTTGTAAAGACGGACCATTAAAACTTCCTTTTTTTTTTTTTTTTTTGAATGTTGTTGCTGTGGCATTGTTGGCGAGGAATACAACCTCTAACCTCTCTATGTCAGAGTCGTACTGTAGCTTTGCTGTGATGGGTTTGTTTCTCTCTCTCACTTACGACACAGTAAGACTCTCCACTGAATACGTGTGCTGTACACTTTTACATTCGAGTATGTGACAACCATTTGTACTGTATATTGTAGAACGTGTGTGCAGAGTAGGACTGTTGACCTCTTCATAAGCCCCCCCCCTTTTTATTTTTGCGCCAACAGGTGAGCGATCCTCGGTCAACTTCCTCGCTAGTTCAGCACGTAGCATATCTAAGTACAGGAACGGAGGAGGTTGACCGAGGGTTGCTCGACTGTGATTGGAGCACAGAGCAAAAAAAAAAAGGAGGGCGGGGCTTAAGGAGGGTCAGTTCTGACTTCAGTTACTGTTACTTTAAATGTGTTAATGGTGTTTATTTGTGTATTTAACAAATCAACCAGCCTGTTTTATACAAATAGAGTAAAATATGATACAACGACATCAAACTAAACTTCACTCTCCATCATAGTTCAGAGGTTTTCTGTTGTTGTTGTTGTTGTTGTTGTTGTTAACGGTAGGTTAGTTATTGTAGCTCTGATTCGACCTTCGTAACAACGCGGTCGGCAGCACTTTAAAAACCCTTCGCACCCCAAAACAAAGTCACAACTCAACGATACACACATTCTTACTCTCAGTGTGACGTAATAATCTCCAATATCCACCGAGATTCAACGTCTATAAATACACTTCATAGAACAAGTGTCTCCTTATAACCCCAGATCAATACGTTTATGGATACACTGCAAACAGGAAGTGCTGATTAGTTCATTCAGAATACTTTTAATGGTGCCAATCTGCTCCATAACATTAAACTCCCTGTTTACACCACCCACAGCATTATGGGAACTGTCTTTAAGAAGCTCCTATAAACTCACATATTCTGTATTTACTTATTTTTACAGTTATTATTAAAACAGAACTTTCTTATTTCCAAAGAAACAAACACTGGAAATATTAAACACAAACGGCTTTCTGATCGTTCATAAACAAACGTTTGTTTACTTTTGGATCCTCGGCCTACAGATTGTTTATAGAAAGTGTTTTTAAAAGATTATTTAACAATTCAAGATGGTTTTTTTTTGTGTCTAAACCAAATTTTATTTATAAAATCAACCAATAAAATAAAAAATAAACCATCTGTAGGTCGGACTTTATCTGTGCATCCGCTTTCGTTTGGACCGGGTCAGTATTTTGACAAATTAAATTATATATATATAATAAATATATATATATATACGATGATTTTATATTTCAGCACCAATTTAAATATAAATTACTTGAATCTAGTTTTGGTTGTTTTCTGTGATCGGCTGATTGTGTCGTCACTCTTCTTAGATGGAAAATTAGACGTAGATGGATAGATTAATATAATATATTGATTAATGTGCGGAGAAGATTGATTAAATTATGACTTCTGTCCTGATATATTACCGTTAATTTACTCTAAAAGACTCAGAAAGGAACAAATATTTACTTTAAGGAGCTTCACTCTTTAAAATATTATAATTAGAGCTGGAAGAATTCAGCAGGAAATGAATCTGCATTTATTTTAATAATCGATCAATAGTTTAAGTCTTTTTTTTTATCCAGTGTGATAATCTCTGTTTCCTGTCGTTCCAAACTGATCATCTCTCCGTTTTTGGGGCGTTTTAAGAAACAGATTTGAACTATTTTAAAGACTAAACGATGAATTGATCACTTAAAGAAAAACCTGCAGATGAATTGATGAAGATAAAATGTTTAATGAGGCGTTTAAGGACAGAGGAAATATTTAAATGCTTTAAACTCAGTTCAGATGAAGTCTGATGTTTTATCGCCCTCTGCTGGTAACTGACGACATTTGTGACTTTTATTTTGTTGTTTTTAAGTCATTTTATTTTTTCCACTGCCTTGTTGGTTTTTGTTTGTTTTCCAACTTATTTACTTCCTGAAGTTGTTGTTGTTGTTTGAGCTTGGTATGTGTGTTTGTGTGTGTGCGCCTTTTTATACCAGTCTCTCTTTATTATGTGTTAACTGTGTCAAACCTCTTAAACTGAAAAAAGAAAACCAACTAAACTCTCACTTCCTGTTTTGTAAGTCAACTTTTAAAGAAATTGTTTGACTTTTTTTTTTGGAGATTTATTCGCTTTCTTTGTCGAGAGTTCGAGGAGAACATCGATGCCACTTTAACGTCTGTACGGTTTAATACGGAGCCACAGCCAGCAGATGGTTAGCTTAGCTTAGCATAAAGACTGGAAGCGGAGGGGAACTGTTAGCCTGGCTTTGTCCAAAGTGAAGAAATCCACAGTTCGACTAACGTTCATTTACTAAAACAACCAGTGAATATCGGACTTAAATTAACAGACGACACCAGAAACTCTTTTCAAAAGTAATATTACTTATTACTATCTGCCAACAGTAATTAGTTACTTACTTTTCTGGGTAATTTTTGTCCTTTCTCCCCAAAATTCAGACTTTTTTCCCGACGATTAAAATCAAAATAATGGGAATATTTCCATCCAACGAACTAGTTTTTTTCTCCACGTTTACAAAAAAATGAATCCAAGGCTGTGATTGGATATGTGATAGTAACTAGTTACACTACTAGTTACAGGAGGAGGTTACAAGATTACTGTAATATCGTGGATATGGGTCACATTTAAACAAATAAATCAATAATTAAGTGTTAATGCTCGCAGTGTGAACGTTGCCACAGCGAGTCTGGTTGTTGCACTGATTTTAAACAATAGTGTTAATTATTGATCTTTAAATGAGGCAGCAGGTGGGTTTTATTACCTGTTGGACAGAACCAGGTGAGCTCCTCGTTTCCAGTCTTTAAGTTAAGCGAACCGGCTGCAGCAGCCACACGAGAGCGACGTAAATCAGCTTCTAAGTCCCCTTTTTCACCATCGATACCATCGTGCTTTTATTTTTTAAACCTTTCCAACAAGGTGAGCTTGACCTTTTAACCTTTCTGACCTTATGCATGTGACTGGTTATGTTTTGTTTTATTTTTCAAGGACGAACCCATCACAACGTAAGTGCAATAAATTGAGATGAAAAAGTCATTTTTATGGATTTTACTGTAATGAAAATGTAAATCACGACAAACTAAAATATATCCGCATGCCTAAATGTATTGAAGTATTTATTGAAACTTCATATTTTAAAATGATTTTTAAAAAAAGCGTACAAATGTAAATGTACTTTATAAGAAGTTTTTGTTGCTTTTATTGTTTTCCTATCATTGACATTCCTCTTCTGCTTTCTATATCTCCGATTACGGTATATCTCTATTTTTTTTTCTCCTTTCAAAATAAAATTAAGCACCAAAATGCTGTTTTTGAACTGTGTTTGTTTATAAATCAGGACATAAACTTGTGATAAAAGGTTGATATAAGGACATTTTAAGTGTTTATTAATGTAGTTATCAACGATTATAGCTGATAATTAATGATCATATAGGAAAAAGTTGTAAAAATATAAATATATATTAAAAAGGAGATGTTTAACTTAAATGTACATTAATTAACACTTAAAAATATCCTTATATATGCTTAAAACTACAGAATAAACCTTGTTTTTAATGTTTACCTGCTGTATCTGAACACCAGACTGGGGGAAAAAAGAGACACAACTTCATGATTTTTCATTTGATTTTGTTTTACTATAAACTCAAAATTACAATTTGTGTGTGTTTTTTTTTTAAGCATTGTGATATAATCAACATTTAAAACTCTTTATTCAAACGTTTGTTTTTTCCCTTTTTCAAGCTGCAATAATTCATCATTTTCAAACGTGATAAAGTCATTCAAGTCTCTCCCCCCCAAAAAAAAGTACCCGAACTAAACAACAAAGCCCTTTTTTATTTATTTAAATAGTGTTCTTCAGGTGTTCCTCGTAACGTCGCTGAATATTTGTTTTTGGCAACAGTAAAATCCCACAAAATAAAAAGTACCGCTCAGTCCGCTACTGTTGATGCATCTCTGTACCAAAGGCAACATCAGCATGAGTCAGAATCTGTACACGAACAAAACGTTATTTGGCAAAAACAATAAAAGAGAAAAAGATTCCAACCTGCGACCGCCGTTATGTTTCCGTTCCCTCGGATAAATAGTTCAAAAATATTGCCAGTTTTTCCACAAACAAAAAACCTCGACACTCACGAACGATTTAAAACAAAAAGTGAAAAACAAAAGTAAATAAAAAAAGAATCTTTTAGCTTCTTTTTTTTTGTACAATTTCTCTGTAACAGTTTTTAAGTAATAAATAAACAAACAGGATTCAATCATTGCACTTCAACTCGCAACAGAAACAGAAAAAAGAGGAGGAAATAAATCACTCATACACACAAACTCCATTTTTACAAGTGCACTATGTTTTTAAAAAGTGTTATAGAAAGAAAGACCGCCGCCTCTCGCTCGTGGTGGAAACATATCGGAGAGTAAAGTTACCTGAAAGTGAGAGTGGAAAGTGTTCATTTACCCTCTGACGCTCCCTTTTCATTTTTTGTATTGCTCACATATTGTAGAAGAATATAAAGTCCTCACCTCGTTGGATTCTCCGTCACAGGAGGAACATTTTCTCTCTCAGAGTGCAGGAAACGTCTGTTTTTTGGCTGACGATGACGCGAGGAAGAGATTAAAATGAACCCGAAGCTTCGAAACGAACGAATTTAAAATGATTGAAGGAGCAAAAAATAAAAAATAGTCAACGTCCCGTCAAACGGAAAACGACATTCAAGAGTTTTTTTTAACGTGAGAGGAGATTCCAGAGTGGAGCGGAGGGGAAGGCATGGTCCAAGCGAAGCCTCGTCTTCACCCGGCTGGTTTGTAAACGTGTTACCGTACCGCAGCGTGTGTGTGTGTGTGTGTGTGTGTGTGCGTGTGAATGCATAAAGTCGTGTGTAAACTCTTTAGAAAGAGAAAGAATTCAAGTTTAACGTGTCTGTGACGGTGCGAGTACCAACATGCAGGTGATTTTTTTCTTTCTTTCTTTCTTCTGAGCGTCCGTGGTGGTGATGATGATGATGATGATGATGATGGTGGTGATCTTCGTCTCTCTAGCTGCCCTCGAGGAGTTTGGCGAGCGTGTCCCTCAGCTCCGTCAGCTCGAAGATCTTGCTGTCCAGCAGCTCCAGCAGCGAGCGCAGGCTCTTGCGGAAGTCTTCCCTCTCGTGCTGGCTGCTCTCCAGACGCCGCTCCAGGTCGCTCAGCTGAGCCTCCAACGTCTCGTTCCTCGACTCCGAGTCCTGAAACAGAAAAACCACAAATAAAAACGCTTAGAACGAGAGACTCGGTGTGTCGGCGCGAGACGAGGTTCCCCGTTCTGCAGCTGGAAGGAGAAACATCTAGTTAGAGGTTAAAGAGAAAGAAATGGTTATTTATCATATTTTTAATTTTCTTTCTAAATATTTCTGAAAAGATGGAAAAAGTTTAATATGAATTCTTTTAGTTTTTTTTACTTTCTTTCTGAAAATTTATTTTTTGAGTATCATAAAGTCACACAGCGACAATCTGGTTCTAGTTGCTAAGTTTGTTTTTCTATGTTTGTGCAGTGGCTCTCGAACTCTGGTTGATACAGATGCACAATAAGGATGTTTTCTTTCAGCCAGTAAGATAAACAATAACTTCACATTTTTGTATTTTAAATAGAAGTTCATAACCTGAAGTTTTTACACACTGGAGGGTTAGAAAGGGGTTCTCGTGAGGAAAAGATTTAATATTCAACAGCTCTGATTTAACCAAATCTAACTCATCACGATTGTTAACAACAAACAACAATTATTGATCAAAATTTAACTAATTTTTTCAAGTAAAGTTCTTTAAAAAAAACGAACTTAAGCTTTAATCGGACATAAAGCCATCATGTATCGGCTATAATTGAATTATATTATTATTATAATAGATAATAAAACACAATTCCCATTATCGATCGATAAGTTATCTGCCCTGATAATTATTGTGAATCCTTAAAATGAAGTAAAATTGTTTCTCAATCAGTGCAGCAGAATTCATTCAGACAGATCATCTATTAATCAATCAATCAATCAATCAATCAATCAATCTTGAGTCTTCACACTAGACTTAAAGCTGCAGTAAGTAACTTTTATAAACATGTAAGAAAGTTTGTTGTTGAGTCTCCTGAAGCCTCCAGGTTTGATGGGTTGTTGTAAATCCCGTCAGGAGCTCTAGGAGGAGCCAGAGGAAGCTGATTTATTCTCACATTATCTGTCTCGTGTTCTTCTGTCAGAATATAATGAAGGTTTCAGCAAATATGACAGAAAGTTATTCTTTATAAAAGTTAAATAACTGCAGCTTTAAGTCTCTCTGAGTTCATCCTCAGCACTTCATCATGTTAAATACATTTTTAATCAAATTTACTGACATTAAAAAGATAAACTGAATTCCATCATTCAACCATTAAATTATACTTTCACAGTTTCAGCTTCACAAAATGTGAACTTTAATTTATTTGTATAACGGGGAACATTTTTCTGCGTTGAGTATTTTTATTTTTAATACTTTAACATCTTAAACACTGAACATTACCGTGTAATAGAGTACTTTTACCGTTACTCACCTGTAGTTTCAGTGTCAGAGTGTCTTTCTGAGACTGGAACTCATTGGCGCTCTCCACCTCTGCTTTCAGTCTCTCCAACTCCTGCAGGTAAAAACATAAACAGTCAATAATAAAAATTAAAATAAGACGTTTGTGTGTGAAACTTCTCAAACTCCTCGTACCTCCTCCTTCGCCTTCAACGCCGACTCCAGCTCCTCTATCGTTTGGTTGAGCTCTGTCTTTTGGGATTTGATCACCGTCGTCTGGCCGCTCACGCACTCCAACTCCGTCACCTGGAACGCAAACGCCACAAAAAAAAAAAACCCCGGTAAGCCTTCGCACACGCACACAAACCGCCTCACAACGTGGATCAGGACGTTTATACGAGTTCACACCCGTTTGTGTAGCCTCTCGGCTTCTTCCTGATAGGCCGCCAGCTGCTGCTTCCACTGTTTGACGTTGGCCGTGGACTCGAGCAGAGCCGCCGTCAGCTTGGCGTTGTTCCCCTTGAGCGCCGCCAGCTCCGCCTCCCAGTGCTTGTTGATGTTGGATGAACTGAGACGAGAGGAAGAGACAGCAGAGGACGAAATATTCAGATCCTGAACTTTATTGTGTGTTGATTGTGGCAGTTTTTACAGGACAGGTCACACATTAAGTTTTATTCCTCCCTTTTTTAATGAGTTACATTACAGTTTTCCTCTAACCGTCTACAGTAAGTAACAGTTCAAATCAGGTTGAATTCATTATATTTTACAGAAAAGTCACAAAAGTCATCTTCTAGAAAGTGAACAAACACTTTCACTTCCTAGAAGATTAATTATTAAAACAATTAAAGTTGCTGTGCGTGTCTGAGAGGTAGGAGATCTGAGCGAGGGGCTGAAAACATCAATTATTCATTTTAAATCAATTTTATAAGGTGTTTCCATGTCTCAAGGTTTTCCAGGATTTGTGGGAAACCTGTAAAAGTAGAAACATTATTATGTAAAGATACCTAATTTACGAGTAAGAGTCCAGAATTCAAAATGTACTAAAGTTAAAATGTAGCCCGAGGAGTCGATTGTAGATACTTTATATATTACAGTTAGATTAAAAGTGAAATACTGCATCGTATCATTTATCATATATTGTTTTATTATGTAACAAATAGCAACTTTAAGCTGAGTTAAGAGTATCAGTAGAAAGTGGCAGTACAGTCGCACCGTGCTTGAGTGAGTGTAGTTACAGAGTTACATCAGGCTGCAACCAAGTTACCTTCATTATTGATTGATCTGCCAAATATTTTCTTCATTGCACAATTAATTAATTAATTAATTAATTAATTAATCATTTGGACTTTAAAGTGTCATGAAATTGCTTGAAAATGTAAAGATTAAATTATATTAATGATTTAAATCCAATTATTGAATCCGACTGAATCTTATCAGGTTCAGCTTTTGAACATTTCACCTTTTGTTGGCTGAGAAACAACATTTATAACCTTTATTAGCTTTAAATAACACTGCTGTATATACCTTTTGACCTGTGCAGTTATATTTATATTAATATATATACACATAAGCTTTATATACATGTAACTTATTCTATGATGTGTATTTTCTTTTCTATTGTGTTTATATCTGCAGCTGCTGACCAGAAAGCTTCTTATCTCGTCAGCAGAAGTTGAAGCTTCTGTCAGTTTAATCTTGTGTATTTTTTTGGTTTATAACTCGATCCTTCGTCTATTGTGTCTGCGGACAAAAAGCTGAATGAATGCCCGTAAACATCAGTTCACAGAGAACCAGCAGAAACCAGTTTTCAGTGAACTGTCGTCACGTCGAGGCTGAAAAACAACTCCAGTTCCTGTAACTTCGAGCTGAACACAGACTTCGTGTTGCGTGAGGCTTTCCGAGAATGAGGTGCTGTCGCCTCTCAGGTGTCAGATCTGTCGTCGTCTACCCAGAATCCTCCCGCGTGCTGAGGCTGTTTACTGTAACGAATACCGCTCGCGCACCAAAACGAACTCACTGACTTCAGATCAGAGCTGGAGGAAGGTATTCAGAGTAGTAATGTAATAAAATACTCCAGTGTGGAACATTCAGGAGGATCTATTGGAAGAACTTCACAGCCCTGTTCTCACTCCCAGGTCGTCAAATACAGACGCGAGTGGTGTTCAATTATCTGCAACTTCACAGTTAAATGTCATTAAATCCTTCACACTGGTCCTTTAAAAGCTCCATGTTAGTGTTATTATTAATGGATTATTGTTATTGATCTATTAAAAAAAGGTCCAGTGTTTTCATTAGTGTGTAATCACCTGAATATCAAGGTTTAAGGTGACTTTATTTGTATATAGTATATATAAACAACTCAGATAAACATGATATAAACGTGATAAAAGATCAATAATGAAATTACTAAGATAAAAATGCAGATAAAACCAAGAATATCTCTGTGCCGGGTTATTGATCTGACTGATCGCTGCTGGAACGAAGCTCTTTTTATACTCTTTATTCTAAATATTGGGAATATAAACCTTCGTCCAGGAGGAAGAAGAAGCTGAAATTCACCGTGTGAAAGGGCAGAAGTCTTAGTTTAAAACCGGAGCTGTAAAGAATCCACTGAGTAGGATACTACGAGCCGGTGTTTGATTTGTCCGTTCTGGGCTACTGTAGAAACACGTTAATGGTACTTTAATGTTGTAGGTGGAGCTAAGGAGCAGGTAAATTACCTCCTTTAACACTGACTGTGAATGTTTGGACACTAGAACACAAATGTTCCTCAACATTTGATGTAAAACATGAAATAAAACCCAACAGGAGGACAGTGTTGTGGTTATTTGTACAATAAAAGATAATTTTATAATTAATTTATACAGTTTTATGTATTTTAGTGTTTCTGCTGCATTAACGTCCCCTAAAGCACGGCTGACACGACCCACCTCCACTCATTGAGCGGTTTATAATTAATAGGAAGCATGCGTAGTGTGTTACTGTAATGCTTCACTGCTGTCCAGAGGCCTGAGGGACCAGATCAATAATGAATGAATGAATGAATCGACACGAGCTGCAGCGATCTGTGCTGCGCTGTGCCAATTTCATTTTAAATCAGCTCTCCGGAGAGTCGCTAACGGACTCGTTAACACCGAACGTGATGATTTAATGATCAGGATGCGTTAAACTATTAAAAAGCTATTTAACAGAAAGAAAACGAGACGATATTTGAGCCTCTAAGTGCTCTGCTTTACCTGTGTGAGAAGGGCAGTGCATTCTGGGAAGGCTCTGCTCTGGCTTCGGTGTGCTGAGGCGTGTCTGGTGTGACCCTCTCGTCGTCGGTACCGTTGATGCTCTCCGAGGTCAAAGGTGACTGTAGATCACCTGGCGCTGACTCCTGATTGGACAGTGAAACACAAAGAAATATTTTTTAATTAAAAATTAAATTAATTTTATTATAATGAAACAGTTCAACATTTTTGGGGGAAAAAATAAAGTTTATTCGTTTATATGCCGAGAGTTAAACGAGAAGATCGACACCACTCTCGTGTCCGTACGCGAACTGTGAAGCTACAACCAGAAGAGAGTTAGCTTAGCTTAGCATAAAGAATGTAAACAGGAGGAAACAGCTAGTCAGCGAGAATTCGGTTTCTTTGAACATCTTTTATTTTCCCCTCGTTTTCAAGTCTTTCTCAAGCTGAAACCCTCCACGGAAATAACACAAACTGTAGTTCCTCTAACAGCCACTAGAGGCTGATTTTACAGCAGAAATAAACGTGTTTACAACCTCGTACGAGAACGTTTTTTGTCTCTATGGCTAAATTTTGCGAATTTGTACAACTGCACAGATATTTTTTTTTTATATAACTCACCCGTATAAATTATATAAAGGCTTAAAGTTATGCATAATTAAGGGCGTGGCTGCGTTGAGTGACACGTAGGCTTTCTCATACTATATTTATTGTTATTCACCAACAAGGAAAATTCCTTATATGTGGAAAAACCTACATCCAATTCTAAACCTGTCAGTCTATGGGCTTTATGCTGAGCTAATGGGCTGCTAGCTGTAGCCACATGTTTAAATGTACAGATATGAGAGTGATATCGATCTGACCAGCGAGACGGCGAATAAGCACTTTCCCCCCAAACGGCTGAACTTTTCCTTTAAATTTGGATTATGAAACAGAACAAAGTAATAAAGTTTTAATGACTCCGTGCTCTCAAAAATTAACTTTTCTGCTGAGATGTAGCCGAAGACGCTCTGAAAACTAACCACTAGACACAAAACTAGATTCAAATCACAGGACGTTTTCTCTGTTTCTCTGCTTTTTGGGTCTGAGCTGCCGATTTAAGTGATTTCTTAGAACTGGGACTCTTCTGAAGACACTGTGTCCCTCGTACGTTATAAAATATCTCATAGCTGACTGTTACTTTTTGAGAGCACGAGAGGAGAGCTGGAGGGTCGTCTGTGGAAGGTTTATGTGGGAACTTCACAGGTTCCTCTGGTCGTTAGTCTGACATTAGGATGATAGACGAGGTTGTTAAAGACTGATGACGTGGGTTGCTCCCGAAAAAAGAAAGACCGGAGTAACAAAAACAATGACAATAGGTGATGAGTCTGGGCTTTATACATCATTGTGCTCTCACTGTTGGCTGCAGGGGAAGGTTTTTAGGGGAGGTCTGCATCATTAACTGGAGGGTAAGACTGGGAAAAAACGGGGCCACCGGAGTCATGAAAATGATTCTTTCCACTTCTTTTTACCTTCTTTTTAACAGGTTTGTTGACTGATAACACATTCCTTTTTACAGCGGCGCCCTGAGGAGGAATCATTAAGGAGAGGAGAACAAGCCACAAGGTGTTAGCTTAGTGGCTGAACGTGAGCTGAGTGAAACATTAAACAACTTATTATAACGAAGTACTCGAGCTACAGGAGCCGTCGTACAGGGATTACATTAATGTCATTCCTGGGGGTTTGTTACCAACCTTATTAACATTTTAATCTTGATTCTGAATGGAGAATACACTGTAAAACATATTAAACCAGAATGACTGAGAGTTTATGAGGAGATGGAGATCATCCAGTGTCTGGTATAGTTTGATGGCAAACATCCAGAATGAAAAGGCCTGCTATGCTTTTAACTCGTGCAGCAGGAAAAACAGCAGGAATCTATGCTAAAGTTACTTTTCTATGCTGATGATATGATAGACTTTATTGATCCCACACTGTGGAAATTCACTTGTTACAGCAGCTCCAGATAGAAGATAGCAGATAAGAACAAAAAAGAAATACACATTGAATAAGAAAATAAAGAAAGATAAAAGATATCAAGAAAACAATTAGATTTAGAATTAGGGTTGTTATGTACACTATATAGACATATATACAAACAGCAGTCATTTAGCAGAAGAATATAAGCTAGCTATGAATAGTTCAGGTCTAAAGACTAATGTGCACTTTTGATTCCTGTAGCAGAAAAAAACAGCAGGAATTTATAGACAGTTGTCTATCAATGTGAGCTGTGGAATAACAAAGTTTTATAAGTAATGTATTTACATATTTCTAGCCAACTTGCTTTATTCCTAAATCCAGAAAATGTTCATATATAAGCTATCCGTCCAAATAGCTAAGCTCACGTCTTCAAAGACAGATCCAGGTGTGCAGCGTATGCAAGGATGCATTAGCGGGGATAGTGTTACCTGAGAGGGAGTGCTGGTGAGCTCCATCTTCTCCTGAGACTTCTCCTTTGCTAACCTCGCTGCCTCTTTGAACTCCGCAAACTTATCTGCAAACTAAAAAGATTGAAAAAAAAAGACAGTTTGGTTTAAAGAGAGGAGATAAACTCAGTCTCTCTTTGTGGGTCTTCAGTCCCGCGCTCTCACCTTGGCCAGGTTGCTCTCCGACGAGAAGCCGAGGCCGTACACGGTGTTCGCCCGGCTGTCGGCCCACTGGCCAAACTTCTGCGACGTCTTGGTGAACGTCATGTTGGGGGTGATGGTGCTGTTGATGATGGCCTGTGGAGAATAAATACATTGTCTGTTAAAGCTTCACTGATTCAGGAAACAGGTTACAGCTGCAAGTGAGCAGCTGGAAGTCTGATATCTACTGGGAACCGACTGTGTGTGTGTGTGTGTGTGTGTTTTGGATGGACGTGGATTTGTGTTCACATTGTTTGGTAAACAGGAAGCAGTCAATGAGGAGTTACTGAAGTGAGTCCAACTGACTGTCATGTTATTGATCGGTGTGGGAGGACTCGCAGGCAGAGCTGGGAGAGAGGCGAGCGCAGGTGGTTGCGAGGAAAAATGGAAGATTTACTGTTAAGATGCCTCAAATAATCAGTTTATTCTTCTCCTTCAAACAGAGATCTTAACTCAAGGTCCACTTACTTCCTTTTTTTAAAAAGTCTTCGACCACATGACACAGTTCTCATCAGATTTACTTTTGTTGTATTTGCCATGAAACTGTTGATGTTGAAGCTTTTCCATGATTCTGATCACCTCTAAGACTTTTCACTCTTGAGGAAACAGCAGTCGAAAGCTCTAGAGACGCGAGTAAGTGGACCTTGAGTTGAGAATGTTTTGGTCTTTGAAGAGTAAATCAACACCCATTGAAAATATCTTTGTTTACATGTAATGATTTCACTTCTGAACTTGCTTCAGTGATGTACAAGTGTACACAGTATTTAATTTCCTCACAAACTTAAACGTTACTGTTATAAAGGGAGCGGCGACTTGGTGCGTCGTACGACCAAAACACACCGGCGCCGCAGTGCGTCATATAACACACATTAAGTGCCGCCTCTAACACAGTCAGGAAGCATCACAAGGTCGCTGCGTGTCTAGTTGCCTGCGGGGTTATACATAGAAAATAATAAGGGCCTGTTTTAGCCTTTAATTGGCAGTAAAAAAAAATACTTGAAAATGCAGCTGAAACTGTGACTCATGATTTGGAAGTCAGCTTGTAAATACTGTACAGCAGTGAACTCCAGGACCCAAACCCAGAGGTACGCTTTACCAACTGCACCTGTAACGAATTCACAGAGCTGTTTATGTATTAACTGTAGTGTAATGGGGCCAAACCTACAAGTTTGTCTCATTTCTGAACCACCAGAGAGATTTGTCACTGTGTGGCCTGCGTCTGTTTTCTTTCCCTCTGACTTATTGTTGTTGTCTGTATAATCACGTCCTCCAGCACCAGCCCGCCCAATCGCTGCTATTTCCAGCTGAAAACTTGCTGGTTCAACAACAGCGGTAGCCACCCAGAGAGGCTCTTACATAACTATGCTAACTCCACCCCTGCACCCCTCTCAAGACTAAAATAATCACTGCCACACAGATATGACAGACCCGACCGCCCCTTCACTGCTCCAGCACAGAGAGGCCAGGCCGAGGCAAACAAAGCCTGGCAAGCTGAGAGTCGGGGTGGGACGTACTCACAAAATCCTACATATTTACAATATATAAACAAAGATATTGTTCTTTATGAATTTATCTGCACATACGAGTTGTTTGCAAGTGGTATATTACAATCCTAAGTTCCTATTGATTGAAATGAGGCTCTAACAGACCGTTAAACAAATGTTACATACTGAATATTAAGACTGAAGCTGTAGTCGTGGCACAGGAAAGGTTACGAAGGACTGCCACACACACACACACCTTGGATCCATCCAGACTGATGATTCGATATACATTCCTGGTACTGTCGTAGAAGTAGGAGACGGTGACAGCGTGTTTACTGGTGGGAACCCAGTTCTTCTTGGTGTTTGGGTCGATCTGGAAGACGTGGGCCCGTGTGCTGAAGATGGGCTGCTCTCTGTGGAGAGAAAGGAAGAAACGTTGGAGGAGATTGAGCCATCGGTATTTGGTTAAAAAAAGGCCTCAAACTCTGAGGTTGCCTTAAATATGCAGCGTGTAACTGAATACCAGCCTGTGAGGAGGAAAAACAAGCTTTGGTTTCACCAAAATAGACAAAACAACAAAGAAAATTATTGCGTTCAAGTTGACAAAGATTGATGCCAAAGGACAAAAAAACACAAGTCATGCTAACGGCTCTGTGAGGCGCACTGGTGCTTTAAGATAATTGCTCAAAGACAGCAGGTGTAATGTTTAACTTGTTCATCACGGTAGTTTAACGAGTACAAATGAACACTAGACCAAACTGCAACCTCCGTGGACTGGTAAATGAAGCCAACAGCAAAGTAACAAACACTGCAGTTCCTCTAACGGCCACTAGAGGCTGGCTCCAGGAGTGAGTCAATCTCCATAAGGCCTCATATTAAAACTTTACAGCAGAAATAAACAAGTTTACAGCCTGGTACAAAAAATGGTTTTGGTCCCTATAGCTACATTTCCTGTTTATGACGACGGTACGGAGGGTGAATTTGTATAAAACTCACCTGTTTAAATTATATTAAGGCTTAAAGTTGAGCATAATTAAGGCTATGGACGCTTTGAGTGACAGGCGGGTGCGGCACAGCCCGTCTCAGCTCCACGTAATGGCCTATTTTTGTCAAACAGGACTGCCACGTCCAGAGCCGACGACACAGCTCTTCAGAAACTTCTACATCCATTTTTAATTGTACAGTCTATGCACTAAACACAAGGCTGATGCCAATGTCATTAGTTTGCAGATATTCGGTCAGAAATCAATGACTAGACGCCAGATTAGAAGTCAGTGGATCACCAAAGTTATTACAGTTCATCCTCAGGGGAACGTGAAGGTCACATTTTGTGAGAATCCGTCCAACAGTTGTGGAGATATTTCACTAAAACCACAAAGTCATTAGGGTTCATCCTCTGGGGCGTTTGCCATCGCTAGAGTCGCACCGATTCTAAAAACATTCAGGTGTGTTCAGGCCAAAGTTCATTAAGTTAAGGATCAATAAAGTGCTCTTCATTCCTCACATCCTCCGAACAATCTGCTGACACTCGTTAAAGAGACACAACGTGTGAATAAAGCGCCACATGAAATATCAAACGCTGTCCTTTCCAGTGAAAAGAAGTGGAAGCACTGAGGGAACGTGATGAGGAAGAGGAAGGTGAGAAACAGCTTGCCAGATCCCAGCACATCCATTATTCACTGGTCTGCTGTGTTGCTGCTCTACCAGTGACAGGACGAGGAAAAACACTGTAGAAATGAACACATACAAGCACATGGACACAGTCTTCCTCTCCTCATGTGGCACACAAAGGCAGATAGTAAAAAATATTCAATTAACACTTGGCAGGAGGAATCAAATCAAATAAATCTGCAAATATTAAAATTTGCTTCGTAATGTAGACTCTCTGCAATGTTCCAAAACACAAATAATCCTTAATGTCACGATCGCTTCATTACTTGGAGTTAATGAACCTTTGCAGTCAGCGGGTGATGAAGGCAGAGTCATTAAAAATGATTTATGATTTACAAAATAAAGCCTTAAGGAAGCTTTACAAAATAAAGAAGCACCAACAATCGTAATGCAACGATTTAGACGACCTAAGTTATATTTTTACTCTGCTGCTGCATCGCTGTCTGGAAATGGGAATGTGTTGGGTTGATGTTTCGTCTGGAGCTGAATTAGAGAAGACGTGTTGTGGTTTGTTTGGGTAACGTGAGACAGGAAAATATACAACATGAGGACTAATATCTTGTTTAAGTTCTATTAGTGGTGACAGAGAAGGCAATCACACCTCTCTAGTGACAGCGGCTGGACGTTAGCGAGGAGATATTTGTGATATGGAGAGACAAAATAGCACAACCTTTCTTCATGATGGCGTTTGAGGTCGATCAGATTAATTCCCCAGGAGAAGTTTGTTAAAATATGTGTGTAAATCGCCAAAAATTACCATTAAATTAAAAAATACTGACTTCCTTGTTGGGTTTGGGTTACATTCTGACATAATACAAGTGCCATTTTCATACCTATCAGTGAAATGTGCCCCTGGGGCAGTTGTTTAGGGGACGCTACTGAGCTATTTTGCCACTCCCATGTGCAAAACACATACATACGCCACCGCTGATGTGTATGTGGTGTTTCATGAGTTTTGGAGGATGTTACGGTCACCAAATATGTGATTTATTGTGTAAAATATCATTATTATTATTATTATTATTATTATTATTATAAAGAGTTGGAGTGATTTTGACAGGGCTTTGACAATGTTTGCCTCTTGGGGCCTTTATTATTACATACATGTGAATGTGTTCAGAGACTGTTTCTATACCAGCAATGTGTGCAGGTTAATAATAATAAAAGAAACATTTTGTGTGACTTTTCTTTCTGCTGTGGTGTCGAAAGAGGTATACCTTAGTTTATACTTAGACTACCTCAGAAATAAAAAAGGATTCTTTAATTTTATGTAACAAATATGAGAAGATATATTTTGTGTATCTTTACATAGACATAAAATAATCTTTTTCAGTCATAATTTGTCTCCAAACTCCAAATAAATGTTATAAAATCATATCATGAACCCAGTATTGTTAATTGTATCAAATCATCAGTTACACCTCTAATCAGGGCTGCACAATTAATCGAAATATGGCATAAATGTAATATCCAAACTGCAACAAAACACCATTATAATGAAGTACAGTAGTTCTGCAGAGATGCCCTTATCTAAAAATCTTTTCCACAATCGTATAATAACCATATATATGATGTTTCTACCATATCGTGCAGCTCTATCCCTCATAGAAAAGAAAAGCTGTAAAAAGTTGGATAAGAAAACCAGAATATAACCTGGGTGCAGGAGGAGATGGAGCGTCCTTCTTGAAACCTGCTGCCTCGTGTGTGGGCGGTTAAGATAAAAATCAGGCTTTTTTTTTTTTTTTTTTTTTTTTAAAGCAGCAGAAAGAAAGGGCAGATATGCTAATATGCTTCTACTTTTACAATAACAGGGCTGAACAATGCAGCAGAGCCCACACAGACACGGACAACCATCAACCCCCATGTGTGTCGGAGGCGAAAGCGTGGAGGTTGACACAAGTTAAAGCCACTCTCTCCGATGTCGGTGCAGCTCCCGAACAACGTGCATCACAAAGCGGAGATTAGACTAATTACAAAACAACAGGTCGATTGATTGACAAGATTATGTGGGTTCAGGTCGATTCCGTGGAGAGAGCTCGCTTCCAGATTTGTTTGTCGACCGTCACTCATTTCATTTTGACACCACTTTCCTCCCCCCCGGCACAGAGGCAGCTCAAAGTCGCACCCTCGAATGATTTGTCTGTAAAGAAAAGCAGCAGGATGTTATATATTTGAGGCATGTGTGAGCGTGTGCAGGCCAGAGCAGAAGGGCGAACGCTGACGTAGAAGCAGCAGCAACGATGCCAACGGTGACCTGGAAGCACCTGTGCTGACATACAGAGATCAGCGGGCTCTGGACGGATTCCAAATATTGCTATGGATGGATGAAAAAGCTCGCAGGGTCTTGGATTAAAAGCAAAAACAAGCTGTAACTGTCTGGTTGTAACTGGTCTGAATCCTCATGGAAATACGCACACACACACAAAAAAAAAAGAGAGCAGATTTTTTGCCTGGAGATGTATACAGACTTCTGGAAATGTCCCAATTTGTTAGTTTCCTCCAAAATAAAGTGTGGGACTGCTTGAAAGTAATTTTCTCTTTCTCAAAAGAAGGAAAATTGTAAGAAAAATATATTAAAGACAAGAATATGTAGCCTATGCAGCAACAAATATTGCTTTAATTTCATTATTCTGTTGTTTTCTGAGCCTACTGACAGAAAAGAGTCTGCAAACAGCGTCCTGATCATGAGCTCTGCATGCTGAAAACTGTGGTACACCTTCAAATACTCAAGTAATCCCACACTGATTCAAACAATACCTGGGAAGCACTAACCTTTAATAAAAATATACATTTATATGTCAATATACAGAATGTTTCTTACTTCTCACTAGTGTCTAATTTCATCATTACAGCAAAGTGTGATTGGGTCTTTTTTTCACAGCAAATATTTTGACTTGTCTTGCAAGAAAACATACGAACCGATAACAGTTGAGATGGATTCCTAGAGCCAAGCTGCTCGCGTGCCTTAAAAAACAAAAGTTATGCAGATTACCGATGTCTATAAGTGTTTTGGTTACCGTGCTGATACCCGTATCTGAAACAGGTATCGAAATGCAAAAATGGGCATCCAGAATGCAAAACACTACCACTTCTAATTTTGCTAAATTGACATCGTCTCAACACCCTTTGTTGCTCCGAACAACCGGACAAAAATAAATCAAAAGGCTCTCCAACAGGGCAGTAAGCAGCACTAAGAAAGACAAACACAGAAGCACTGAATGATTTCTCTTCAACATTAGAGGCCCAACAATAAAACCACCTCTTTATCTTGACACATGACTCATTTAATGTAGATTTTGATCCTCAGATGCCTATCAAACAGGCAAAGTAGATTTAATTGCTTTGCTGGGAGCGGATCGTCCCGGGTCTCCTCCGGGACGCTCTGTGATTGTTCCTCTCTGGGAACCTCTCGTCATGTCTCAGTGTGTTAATTAAGTGGAGTGGAGACTTCGGCAGATGTTATTTAAAAGATAGACACAGTTAATCAGTGAGGTGGTGCTACTCGGGGATTCACAGCAGCTCAAACAGGCAGTTTTAGCTTCGATTTAACGCGTCAGAGTTCAGATGTGCTACGTACCTACTATTTGTCTTTGATGTTGAGGTTTCAACATTTCAACATTTCATTTCCTCTGATGTGATTTGCTTACAGCAGCTCTTCCGTGACGTCTATCAGGACACGTTCAGGGCGAGATATTATGCAAAACCAGAAGGGTTGAAGACAGGAGAGTTTGGGAGGTTGGCT